GGAAGTGATTGCAGTTACCCATTTCTGCTGGAGGCAGAACATGAAGAGATTGGCTGAAGCTGACACAGAGTGGTTTAGATAAGATTGGGAGAATATTTTGCCCCTATCATTGTTGATTTCTTGCACTAGAATGATTTACAAAGAATGATTCAGAGTGCTCCTTCTTTGGTTAGATCTGCAAGAGCACGCAATAGTCTACTGTAAAGTGTGAGGAGGAGGGAAACAGGTTAAATGACTCTCAAGATTTCACTAGACCTCAGTTTTCAATATAGAAATACCTTTAAGGGAGCCATTAGAAGGAGAGCATAAAGCAGTTATACTAACACTTCAAGCAGCACGTTATTTTAGACCCCCATTGCCAAGTGCGTGACAATCACACATGCTTATTTACTGCAACAGATGATGCTGGTATCTTAGCGCGTGGGATACCCAAGCTGAGTTAGCGGGATAAGTGTGCACCTAAGAATAGTTAAGATATTGTGTGAATATCTTCCATCAAGGGAGTGACCCCACTTGCTAAAATGTTGGTTTTTCTGGAGGATTCTTGCTAGGTGGTAGGAGGTATTTATTACCTCAAGTAACCAATTATACTCTCGTGTCTGTCGCTGCTTTTCTTGTTTAAATGTTGAACTGTTATAGCCATAGAATTTCCATTTCAGGGCAAAGCAAAGGAGCTGGAAAAAGAAAAAATAAGGGTGGTTGTATTAGCTTTCTGTCGCTGAAACTGTTACCTAAAGTAAACACAAGAGGAGTAAAGGACTGTTTGGCTCACAGCTTTGTCAGTTTCTGTCCGCTGCTGGCTGGTTCATTGCCACTGAGCCGGCAGGGAGGGAGCCCACCACTGCAGGAGCGTCTGGTGGAGGAGGTCAGCTCTCCCTGTGACCTGAGAGATGAGGAAGAGGAAGAGGCTGGAGTCCCACAGTCCTCTTCAAGGTCACGCCCTCCTCGCCCTAAAGCCCTCCCATGGGGCCCTGCACCTCCAAAAAGTGCTGCCACACATGTGGGCCTTTAGGGGACATTGATTCAACCCGGACGGGAGGTGTGAACAAAGTGAAGGCACTTGTTAGCTACATGGGCAGTCCTGGCTGTCAGCCCTCTTCAGACCTCTTGGTTTAAATATGTATTATTTTCTCTTCGAAAAGAGACAGATTCCTGAGCTGTCTTTACACAGCCAGACCTTGGCTCTAAAGTATCTAATAAATCGCTCACTGCCAGTGGATAAGAGTATTTTTTTTTTTTTTTTTGTACCGGGGATTGAACTCATGATCTTGCACTTGCCAGGCAGGCGAATCTTGATATACTAGACTCTCTCATGCCCGACAGCCCGCTACATAGACTCACCCCATCAATCCCCTTTGGAGTCACTCTTCCACAGTGGAGGCCCAGCTTTTCTGTTTTCTGTGATCATGCTCTTACCCCAGGTCTCCGATGATGCTGTCTTCTGACTATACTTTCCTCCATTGTAGCCTACTTTATTCTTCTTTTCTGTGGCCTTATGAAGTATTTCTATCTTTGCTTTTGAAAGATTCTTCTGATAATAACAAAACTAAAATAATTCGGGCTGGGGATGTAGCTCAGTGACACAAACACCTGCCTGGCAAGTGGAAGGTCCTGAGTTGGTCCTCAATATAAAACAAAACAAAACAAAACAAAACAAAAAAACTAAAGTAAAATACTTATGTCTTAACTCAGATTTTGCTGTAACGAAGTGGCATAGACTGAGTATCTCAAACAACAGACATTTCTTTCTCACAGTGCCAGAGACTGAGCAGTCCATGGTCAGGGACTGGCTGACTAAGTGCCTAGTGAGGGTTCTTTTCCCGGGTGTCAGTGGGGTACTTCCTTGTTACTGTATCTTCCTATGGCAAAAAGAAGGGAAGGAGGAAGGGGAAGGTGGGGGAAGTGGAGGAGAGAGCATTCTAAGGACACTAATCCTGTCATGGAGGCCTCCTCTTGTGGCCTGCTCTAAACATAATCACCACCTAAAGTCCTCGCTTCCTGACACCCACATGAGGGGTTAGGCTTCAACACTGAGTTTGGGCGGCAATAAACATTCGGCCCATAATAAATTGCAATCGTTTATGTGGTTGCAATCATTTATGATGTGCCAGGGAGTGTTCCTAGTACGCTTCCTTGATTAACTCGTTTAGTCTTTACTGTAATTCAAGATGTAAACTTTATATTATTATCCCCATTTTACGGATAAAGAAATAGAGGCACAGAGAGTTTAAATAACTTGCCTAAATCATATAGCTAGTGAATGATACAACTGGAATTCTGTACCAGCCTGAATCCTGACTGTTTTCAGCCATCTTTCTAAAGGCTGTTAGTAAATATCTTATTTAATGTTTTATTCTCTTAAAATTTAAACTCTTGAGCTAAAAAACAAATGTGCCTTCTCTTTGCTTCACCTTGTGACAGCCCTGTTCCTGGAAAAAGAAGTTACTCTGGATCTGTTTATGTCTGTAACCTGTTGTTAGTGGTCAAGGAAGTTCTCATAGGTCTTTCAGGAAATCTGGCTCGGTTGGTTTGACTGATGGTTACGTCTTGACACAGCGACACTACAGTTACTTCTGGGAGTCAGGAATTCAAACCTGTAATTCCTATTGCCTAAACAGACATGCCCTGTGGTGGGTCCCTGTTCTTTCCCCGCTCCTCCCCTCAGCTCTCCGCTCTCTTTTCCTCCCCTTTCCTTGCTTCTCTTCTCCTCTCTCCTTCCTTCCTCTCTTCCCTTTTCATGTCTGGAACTGAACTCAGAACCTTGTGCAGGCCAGGCATATGCTGTATCACTGAGCTGTATCTCCAGCCCAAGTTTTCTCAAGCAGTTCTTTTATTACTTGAGTATTTAATGAGGTAACTGAGGCTTCACTTTACTTCCACTATGAAATCCTAAAACTATGCTTAATTTTATGCAGCTCTTCTTTGATTTTTTTAGGGAAAAAAAAAAAAAAAAAAAAAAAAAAAAAAGAAAAGAAAAAAGGTTCTTCCTTTAGTAAATAGTGAAAGTGAGTATATTGGAGTTACTTCTTTTATCCCCTAGTACTGAGAATTGAACCCACGGCCTTAGCACTGAGCTACATCCCAATCTTTTCTTTATTTCTTATTTTAAGACAGTCTTGCTGTGCAGCTAAACTACCCAGGCTAGGTTTGATGTTAGGCAGGCTTGAGCGGGCTGGGATTACAAAGGTGTGTCCCATGCCAGGCATGATGTTACCTTTAATGGGTACCTTGTCCATACAGTGTTAAGTTCAGGGAACAGATTATCCTTTTTAGTAAAGTTACAATACTTAGACAAAAAGCTGAGGTCTCACATTGTGGACGTTCGTTGTACTACACTTATCTGCTGTTTCTAACAGTGTCTGCTTGATAAGGTAGGTTCTCAGAACTAGATATTTTGAATACTCAATTTCTGACTAATAGAATGAAGGGTATTTGGGAGGGTTTTGTAAAACTTGCAGAATCAAGGGGAAAATGTAATCATTTATCATTCTCAGTAAGAATACGAAGTGTTACAACTGTGGCATCTTAGTGTGACCAATCAGGAGTGAATCTTAAAGCTCAGTTGTTGAAATGACTCAGTTCTGTTTTCATTCAGTGATTGTCTCAGGGTTTGTGTTCCTTGGAAGGGAGTCAGATTTGCTGTAAATTTGTCAGATGGCTGTTACTTAGCTGGATGACTGACAGCCCACCAATAAATAGCACATGAGATGGGTGAGGCACATTTCCAAGTGTGAAGTAGGACAGTATTACCAAGAAAGGAGAAATGGGGAAAAAACAGCAGAGGTCTGCTTCCAGCAAGGTTCATTTCAAAGCAGAAGGGATTTAAGTAACAGCTTTGATTTAAATAATAAATGATTTGGTTATTACCTGAATTCAGTTGCCAACTTATTCTCTTAAGTGAAAAAATCTGAGCAGTATAAATGCATGACAAATGTTTTACATTCAGGTCTAAAAAGTCTTTCCTGATTATGAGAATTTCCTTAGCTAGTTTTGAATATATAAAAAATATAATAATATCAGTCCACATGTAACCATCATCCAGCTTTAATAATCGTCAACATTTTGCCAAGCTTATTACAGTTGATTGCACTTTATTTTTTCTTTACCTTTTTATTAGTATCTATGTACAGTACATATTTACACTCCTTGTGTGGGATTGGTACAGGTACATAACATATCTTAATTCCTTTTTTCATGCCCTTTCCCTACTCTCTCCTCTGTGTCTTGATCCCTTTTCCATCTGAAAAGATCTACTTGCCCAGTTCCTTTTGTCTGTTTTATTTTGTTCTTTATTTATAATTTGAGTTTCTCATATAAGCTAAACCAAGAAATTTTAAGCTTGTGTGTCTGATTTATTTCACTTAATATTATGGTCTCAGGTGCATCCATTTTTCTACAAATGATTCAAGTTTATTGTTCTTTGTAGTAGGCTCATACTCTGTTGTGTAAATAAACCACATTCTTCTGTTGGTGGATATATAGGCTGCTTCTAGGATTTAGCTATTATGAATTGTTTGTTGCACTTTAAAGCATTATTATAAGATGGTTTTATAATTGGTTGTATAAAAAGTCACAAAATGTAACATCTGAAAATTTGTTTTAGAAACAGAAATCCAAGTATCAAGTGGTCATTGAAAGGAAGAGAGAGAGAGACAGAGACAGAGACAGAGAGAGAAAAAGACAGAGAGAGAGACAGAAACAGAGAGAGAGAAAGAGAGAGAGAGAGAGAGAGAGAGAGAGAGAGAGAGAGGAGAAATATAGCCCTATACAAGAGTGATGCATTATTTATCTGGGAATATAATTTTCTATCAAACCTTTTATTGACTTAAGTTTGATGAATTAATTCTTTAATGACTCTGTTTTCAGACTACCTCTGCCAAATTTGTTTTCTGGTCCTGGTAGTCTGGGAGTGAACTGGCAGTTTTATTTGACTGTAAACTCTGTGTACTGGTTTGTATGTGCCTTGTGTGACAACAGACTGTGCTACGATTGTTTTGCAGTTGAAAGATGCATGAGTGTAATGCAGTCCGGGACGCAGATGATCAAAATGAAGCGTGGGACCAAAGGCCTCGTGCGGCTCTTTTACCTGGATGAGCACCGGACCCGCCTACGTTGGAGACCATCTAGGAAGAGCGAGAAGGCAAAAAGTAAAACCAACTTTTGAATATTTCGCTTGGACTATTACAGTAATACATGGGTGACACTGGGAAGGCTCTTTGGAAGCTTCAGATCTATGGAATTTGCATAGTTTTGATAGTTTTGAGGTAAACTACTTATAGAGGTTGAGACAAATGATGACTGTTTTTGAGGAATTGAAATTCTTAGAGGTTTTTCTGGTGCATCATTGTGGTAAAAGTTTTCTTGTACATGAATGTGGTTGGAGGTGTGATAGGTATTTTATTTTAATTGAGATATAAGGTTTTATAGCTGAGATGTTTTATTTTTCTCTAACAAGTTAAGGATATTGTAAATCCAGTGAGCTTTAAAGTAAATTGCTGGATTCTGTGCACAGTGCACCAATTAGTGAATTAGCAACATTGTTTAATGGTGTCAGGTAAAATAGTTTTGATCTGACTCTTACCAGTTAAAGCTTCTCTTTCCCAAACTGTGTTAGTCAGAGTCCTCCAGAGAGATAAAACCAGGAGGGCGGATAGATAGAGAGGTAGGATTTTTATTAGGGGAATTGATTTGTGCTTATGGAGGCTGAAAAGTGTCACAATATGTCATCTGTAAGCTAGAGAACAGAGAAGTCCACAGTGTGACTCAGTCTGAGTCTGAGGCCGGAGCCAGGGGAGCTGATGCTGTAACTCTCAGCCTCAGGTCACAGGGGGCTGCTGGCAAAAGTCTTAGCTCTCTGGGCATCGCTTAGCCCTGCAGGCTGGCTCTGTGGATGAGCTACTGCACAGAGCTTGTACACTTAGCACCAGCTCCTGTTGAGGCTCCCGAACTTTTCTCACACAGGCTTTTTCCTTCTTGTGTCAGTGGTAACCATCTTGGTTGAAAGTCTCCACACTTGTGGGTGGCCTTTTTTTTTTTTTTTTTTTTTTTTTGTCTTTTTGTCTTTTTCCTTTTTATGGGTACTGGGGATCGAACTCACAACTGCCTGCTCGTAAGGCAGGCGCTTATGCTGCTGAGCTAACTCCCCAGCCCTTGGGTGGCCCATTTTAAAGTCTCCCAATCAGCCTCTTTTGCTACTTTCTTTATCTTTATTACTAACAAAAGAACTTCTCTAAATTAAACTTTTGTGATAAAATTGCTACTTCATCTAACAAGAAGCTCGGAGGTCCCAGGTGTGGGCCAGTTAGTCTCTCATTCTGTTTCCTGTGGTACCCCCGGCCCTGTCCTTCACCGGCGGGTACTGCAGCAACATAACTGCAGCAGCGCTGGACCTCACCATGTGATAGAACAAAGAGGCAAAAAGAAACCTGCTCTTCTCGCGCTTCTCTTTTATGAGAAGGGAGCCCCTGTCTAGACCTTTCTTCAAGCAAACAGCCCCGTGTCTGCTTGGTTAGAATAAGGTTGCAAGCTCAGACCTGAATCAATCCAAAGAAATAGGAACAGGATGACCTAAGTGGCTTGGATTAGTCAAGACTTTCTCTGGGTTGAGCATCAGTCTATGTCACTGTGAGCCATGTGAGGAAGGAAATGATACAGGATAAAACTGAGGTCCTGCCATAAAGGTAGAGTGAGGAATAGATGATTTATATTGGCAAATAATTGGACATGCAACACTTTCGACGCTTACCTGAAAATCAGCAACAAAGGAAAAATGTTTTTTTTTCTGAAGTTAACCTTGTCAGCAATTCTCTGACTGAAATCTTCCATGTTCCAATGTTGCTTGGCTTCCTAAACAGTGCAAACCTCTATCATTCCAGCCTCTCCACGATGTAGCCGTATCTTGTCTTGACAGATTTGTCTCCGTTTTTGTTTCTCCTGAGCTTCTGGTCCTGGAATAAGCCTTTGCATCTTCCTGCGCGTTCTTTGAGAAGACGTCTTGTTCCTCTTCTCCAAGCCCTGCTTTCCCTTCACCACCCCGGCATTCTCTCCATGAATGCCTGTCTCATTAGCTATGCTCTGTGGATGCCAGTATTTCTTCTACCTTTCAATTTTTAAATTCTCATGTAGTTTGGAAAATACCCATCAGCCTCAGGTTTTTGTAGTTTTTTGCCATATTGTAAATTTTAAATTTGACAACATTATTAACCACCTTTTCTACCCATTTTCATGTCCTCACAGACATATCTTCTGGTTATTAAAAGTTTCAATACATCCTGAATCATTGACTTGGGAGGACATTGTCAAGAATGTGCAGAAAAGTGGGCTGTAGCTGTAGCTTATGTGGCCTGCATAATATCCTAGGTTCATTCTCCAGCAGCATTAAAAAACACTCAGACAAATATGTTATGTGAAGAAATTTCCTTGTGGGAAACATAAGGACAGCATTTCACATTTAAATTTAAAACTACAACTTGCAGAGGATGAACTTTTTCATACTTTTTTTCATATTTAAAATGACGTTGTCTTTCCTGTTTCTTTGTGTGTGCATTTGTGTGCATGCATGAGCTTTTGTTGGGATTGAACCTCAACAAAGCACAGGCATACTATATTACTAAGCTATATCCACAGCCCTTTTTATTTTTTTATTTTGAGCCAGCATCTCACTAGTGGCAAAATTGGCCTCAACCTTGCACCCTTTCTCCTCAGCCTCCTGCATACCTGTGGATTCCAGGTCTGTGTCATCATGTCTGGCACTTTCCTTGTTTCTAAATCACTACAAATTAAGATCCTTACTTGTCATGTAACTGTGTATCTTGCTTCCCTTGCAGTCCTTATTGACTCCATTTACAAAGTCACCGAGGGCCGGCAGTCGGAGATATTCCACAGACAGGCTGAAGGCAACTTTGATCCCAGTTGCTGCTTCACCATCTACCATGGCAACCACATGGAGTCCCTGGACCTCATCACCTCCAACCCTGAGGAGGCACGCACCTGGATCACAGGACTCAAGTACCTGATGGCTGGCATCAGTGATGAAGATTCCCTTGCCAAAAGGCAGAGGACCCATGACCAATATCCACTCTCAAACTCTGCTTTTGAGTTCCGTGTGTGTGTGTGTGTGTGTGTGTGTGTGTGTGTGTGTGTGTGTACACATGCATGCCTGCATAAGTGAAGTGAGATTAGACTATGCTTTGTTTTGAGGCTTAAAGCCACTCTCCTTTTCATCTTTCTCTACCCTTGTACTCTTTTCTCTCCTGCCCTCTCTCACTGCACAAAAACAAATATGTAAATCTATAGAGGCTGAAGACTGTAAGCTCAGGAGCAAATTCTGCAGATGATATGAATTTAGCTCCACAATCATAGAGATCGTCAGTGAAATATTACTGCCTTTTTAAATTAGAGGAGCATTCAATAACAGTAACAGTGAAAGCATTGATTTGGATAGAGAAAATGCTGTTCTGTCAGAATTTAGTTTAACAAATATTTGTTACATTTCAATTATGCAGCAGGCCATAAGCTCTTTTCTGCCTTTTCTCTTAGTTTGGGAACTACATTGATACTCATCAGGAAGTTATTTTCTACCATCTGATAATATTTATCCTTTCTAAATTGCTTGAGAAGTGAGAATCTGAGTCAATTCTTGATGAGACCCATTCCTGTGGCCTTGCAGTGCTGAAGAGATGCATGATGAGTGCTTGTAATGTGAACAGCCTTCTTGTGGGAAAGCAACACAGCCTTCCTGCCTCCGAGGCCTTGCCTGGGCAGTGAGCATTTCTGGGAGGTGACTGCTTTGGTTCCCTTCTTTATTTTGAATGACCTTGAAAGACATATGGCCTTGGTGTGTAGGGGGAATGGGGTCTCCTCGATGACCTTGGTATATGTGTCCCCAAGTTTTTCTCAGGAGTGATGATAAACTTGGAGTGCTATCCCCCCCCCCCCCCCCGATTTCTCAGGCTATTGCTGGAGCAGTGGGGCCACTGAGCCCATGGAAGGATCTTGACTGTGAGGTCTGAGTTGATGAGTCATGATGTTTTCATTAGTATCACAGCATGCAGACAAATGCAAGTGGGATTCATGAATGAATAAAACGCACAGGCAGAAACTAACTTTCCGTGCTTCAGTCTGTTACTCTGATTGTTAACTCTAACATTTTGGAAAAGAACAAGCAAAATCACTAAGTTTTAGGAATAGCTTTTTGCACACGCAGCAGAAGCCATATTGAAAGTGCTTTAAATGATAAGTCTATTATGTCATAAATGAAATTACTAACACAGAACAGTTTCAGACCTGGCCAGTCCAGTGGCTCCATTTATAGGTTTGCTTATACAGCAGGCTGCCCACGATCAAAGACAGCTGGGGCATCCTCGGTAGCAGCTCCAAACAACCCTGCCACGGATAGTAAAGATTCTGCTAACAAAGTTTTTATACACAAGCAAAGAAAGACTTCCAGAGCCCCTCAAAGATGACTGTTGAGAGCCGTTGAAGCTGGAAATTGAACACTTGTGCAGGCTTGTGGTGTGGCTGGGCATAGCCTACGGGAGAACAAAGAGACACTTCAAAAGGCAAGATAAGGCCATAGCTGAGGACACTTGGCTCCAACCCCAATTAACAAGATTAAGAGACTGCAGCCCCAAGCATCTCATTCCTGCTGTCTATTTCCTACCACAAATAAGACAGTTCTTTTAAATTAGCAAAGAATGCAACTTGAAGAAGTTGTTGAGGTGACTCTCCAGGTCTGGCTCAGATACTACCCTTCCTTTCCCCAGTATCCTATCCCTTTTTTTTTTAAAGACCTAATAAATATGGGCCACCCAGAGAAGCTCTTTGTCTCAGCCCCCAGTCTTGAACTCTGCTAGAGGGTTTTGATCCTCCTGGAGCCCTAAAATCATACCACTTGTCTCATTTATTTAAGCCTTCGCCATACACTTATTTGGGAGATTGGGATCTTGGCCAGGTTCCTGATAGATGGCTTTTCATTGTTGGCCAGAATTACTTTATCAGACCCATTCCTGTACCAACCTTAGCAAGTGAAATTACTTGATATAGTTAGAATCTGATTTCTGTTTTGTTTTTAATGGAAGACTTCAAAGACACTTTATATTTATATGTCAGCATTTTTATATTAGAAATTAAATCAGAATTGAACATTTCACTTGTATTCTATGAAAATAACTTTTTCTAAGAAAAATGAATTATAAGTCATATTACCTCAGCATTTTACAAGTATCTTTAATGATTAACTTACTGTGTAGAACATATGAGTTTGCATATTTATTTCTTCATTCAGTTTGTTGTGGTGTGTTATTTTAGTTTGAAATGCATGCAGAAAATCCAGCCTCAGATAGATAGAAATTGGGAAATCTCACTGTTAAAAGAGATGTCCCAAGAATTTGAGGATAGTTGTACTAAGGCCATAATCCACTTCTGTCCTTCACTAAGGCACGTGGCTCTAAGACACATACATAAGACTGAAGTTCTAGGAAGGAGGGGATGCAATGGTTATAAGGTAGATAATCAGCTCCAGAAGCCATCATCCTCATCCAGGTAAGTGAATATTATGGTTTATATCTAGATGGTCTCCCAAAAGCCTCAGGCATTCATAGACAGGGCTTTTGGAATGTGAGTGGATCATGGCAGTGTGATACTCATTATTGGCTGAGTCCACCGATGAGTTTAGACCAAATGTCATGCTGGAAGATGAAACCACCACTGCAGGTATGATCAGAAAGGATTTATCTCCTGTCTTCTTCCCTTGCTCTTTCTGTCTGCCATGCCATGAGCTGTCTCTCATCTGCCATGCTCTGCTGCCATTCACCCAGCCTTGTAGCCAGTTGACAATGGACTGAAACCTCTACAAACTGTGAGCCAGAATAAGACCTTTCTCTTTTAAACTGTGGGCATCTGGTATTTCCAGCAATGAGAAAAGTTAACTAAGACAGTAGAGTACATTGAAATGTTCCAGAGCCTTTGTCACGTACAAAGGTCTCTATTGTAATTCTTAAAATAGACAAGTGGCATAAATTGTGGAAGCCTCTTTTGCTTTATTGGTCAGTGCTTTTCCTAAAACTGATTTTTTTGTCCATGTTTACTGGCATATGAAAATATTCATATTTGATTTCACTATCTGGGCAGCTGAGGATTTAATACTCTAAGATATGTTAGCTGGAAAGCAAACACTCCCTGAAACTGCACCAAGGAATGCTTTTATAAGAAATTGAGAGGCAGCTGATATTTTGTGGGAAGGGGGAGACATTAACAGATAGTAAAAAAATACTGGGGTAAAAATATAGGGAAAGTTATACTGAGATGGAACCATTTTTATACTAACTTGTCCAAGTTTGGTAAGATTTTAAATTATATCTCAATAATAGAATGACAGCCTTAATTGGGCATACATTTAATTATACTAATTGAGAGCAGATATAGGACTGATACTAATTATACTATCTTTATACTACATTTAATTATACTAATTGAGAGCATGATTAGATTTCATTTATAGCTGAAACTTTCAAGTGTGAACAGATAATGAGAATGATGTCTTAAATGGCTAAGGACAGAAATCCATCTAATCTAAGGTGTGACTCAAGTTAATTCTGCAGCATGGCCCTACTGAGTGGTGCTGGGTTTTGTGGTGAAGGACTCAGACCCTGGTACCATGCTTCCTCAGGCTCAGCCCAGTTCTGTCATGCATGTTCCAGTTTGATGAATTCCACCCTTGCCTCACAGTCTTTTTCTGTGTAATGTTTCTGATCCTGGTGCCTCCCCTATGGAGATGCGGAGATCAAATGGACTGATACAAAGTCCCTAGAATGGATCTCAGCACTTAGTAAGCATGTTACAAATGAAATTGTTATTGCTGGAAAGGTAAGGAGTAGAAAATGTTTTGCTTTTCTACTCAGATAAAGTCCAAAATTTTAGCAACTCCATCGTGCAATAAATGATTGTGCTGGCATCCAGCCTTAACATTATCCTTCATTAGGCCATTGCCCTCCAGTTGTCCCCTGCCCAGCTCATGACACCACAAAGGGAAGATGTTATCACTGCAAGACCTTGGGCAGCCCCTTGCATTGTTGTAAATTAGAGCCTCATTCCATTGCCTCGTAATGCAGAGGGAATCTGACTCACAACCCATCTTTCTCTGGGCTCCTGCATTGTCTGTTTTAAATGGTTGAAAAAGAAGAATAATATTTTGTAATGTGAAAATTATTTAAAATTTATACTCCCATGTCCATAGATTTATTAAATACAACCATGCTCATTCATATGTGTATGGTTTATAGGGTTATTTTCAAGTAGCAGTGCCAGAATGGAGTATTGGAGGTGAGATCTAATGGTCTGCAAAGTCTAAAATATTTATCATTAGGCCCTTTGCAGAAAGTTTCCCGAGTCTTGCAGTAAATAATTTCACTCCTTTTCTTTCATTATTAGGGACTGAATCCAAGGCTTCACACATACTAGGCAAACACTCTACAACCAACCCACTTCCCCAAGTCCTTTAATTCTTAAAGAATTTTGAGACAGTGTCTTGCTAAATTGCCCAAGCTGACCTCAAACTTGCAGACCTACCAAGTAGTTACTATAGGTATGCACTACCACAGCCATCTCCATGCAATTCTTTACCATTTTCCTATAGCATTTTCATACAGAAAACACCAGACCATTAGTTTTCATTCAGTTTTATACCCCTCACTTTTCTCTACAGAATGACTATCTTTTTAAAGTTATCCTGTGTATGGCTATGGATCATTTATTCGGGACTTTTCTAGGCACCCATGTCTTACTTATGAAGATAACAGAATACTTTCACCTGCAGGTGTATACAATGAGTATCATTACTGGAAGAATGATTTTTCCTTTCATAGAATCTTAGAATTGGAAGGAATCTCGAGGTTCTTTGTTCTCTCTGACACTGAGATGAGGAAAGAGGGAGGTGACATGTGAGATCCACTATCACGGGGTCAGGTCAGCAGTAGAATCAGGACTAGGATATTACTTCTTGCTGTGACTCTGCGTTTTTTTTTTGCCTTACCAGCCACCAAACCAGTTGTCACAGCCAGCTACAAGGGCAGGTGCTGAAGGCCTTGCAAAATAGGCCCGTCCTAAACAGATTGTGTCTGGCACTTGAGAAGCTGAGGCAGGAGATTTGACTCCAGTTCAAGGACAGCCTAGGCGACATCATGAGTTCAAGGCCAGTCTGAATAGCATAGTGAGACCTTGTCTCAAAAAATAAATGAGGTTGTATCTGAAGAATATGCTTAGACTTAGGGTTTGGCTGCCTCTACCTCTTCTCTGCATTGAAGGGCTTTGGTAAAGACAGTAGAATAAAAAGATACCATCTTTGGGCTCATTGCACCACTTCCTTGTATTCTGGCCAAATGTCTGAGGAGGCACAAAGCAGTCAAAAGAGGCAGAGCACAAGGAGTGGGCACTGTGTATCCAGAAAACATGAAAGGCAAGATTCAGGCTTTCATTAGTAATTGGCCCTATTTATTCACCATTTTGTTTCTTCAGTTACATTTCCTCTGTTTGTGTCTCCCTTTAACTTCCAAGTAGCACATATAGTGACTCAGGTCTATGAAAAAAAAATCAGACTTGAAAAGTCTGGGCTCTTATATCTATTTATAAGTGTTATAAAGGGAACAAAATATGAAATAAAATATTTACTATCTGAAAATTACCTAACTCTAGAAGGAAGAAAAGTTTTTCCTTTCTGGTTGTTTTTACTTTCTAAGGCACAATCTTCTACCATCAAAATCTGAATTACACAAGAAATGTAAATGTGCTGTGTTACCATTGCGAGTTAAGATGAAAATCTTTCAATGTCAACTGGCTTGATAAGCAAATACCCACTGGCCTTCTCTGAAGCACTGCCATTCTTCGGTTTCATGGTTTGTAAACCTATGGCTTTTCCTTAGAGTCTCTGGTTTCTTGTCACCTCCATTCTTTTCTTTTTCATTACCCTTCAAACTTTGAATCTTGTGTTGAAATTTGAGCATGCACACTATGCCTCCGTCTGTAACTTACTATCCAACAACTGTGAGTCATCCAATAAAAAATCCTCTGCTTTTAAAAGTTAGTTGTAATAAAGAGAGGGGGAAAAAAAAGCGCCCTAAAGGATACAACACCAAGGGTGTTTAGGTGTGTTAAATAGATGACCATGTTAATATTTTTGATTGGATTACTGAACACAACTATTTGCAGTCTCACTGTTTGAATGTTCACTTTGTATGCTTTGATCCTGTGACCTGAAACACCGTTTCTAAGATGATAGCGTGTAATCTATTAACTGGTGATAGCTTACCTTTTTTTTTTTTTTTTTTGTAGTTCTGTATTATTTGTACCCTTACACTCGTTTTTTTTTTTTTTGGTTCTGCTTTTTTTCTCTCTTTCCTTTTAAATAAAAACAAAGTTAGTTGGGAATTTTCAATACATCTGTATATTTTGCCTTTTCAAGAATGTAATATAACAGCAGGCTCACCCCACAAAAGATCTTGTAAAATCTCAGTTGACATGATATATATCCTTTGTATCTAAACTTACTGTCATTTCCTCAGTCACCTCATCTCATTCTGAGCGTTGAGGACAACCTTAAGCATATTAGGTTGCAATCCCTGTAATGAACTGTGGTTAGAAGTACGGACCTACGGGGGTGAGAAGTGGGAAGGCTGGAAATGGGAAGAGAAGCATAGTACAGAGAAAGGCCTGTGTGGAGGGGTAAGAATGCTCCATCAGGTAGGAGGAGACTTGGGCTTTGAACCTGGTTCTCTCCATTCCAACTAAGTATTTCCTTTTCTTTTACAGTTGTTTTATATCCTCACCTAGAAGATGATAAGACTGAACTAGAGGGCCTAATTTTTAAAATATTATAGTGAGTCTCAGAAAAGTTAGTTGAAATCCAAAACCAAGAGGATAATGAAGGTTAAAAAAAGGATATGAGATGAGAGGGCATAGAAGAAAGTAACTGCTAAATTTGTTGTATTGAGGTTTCATCATAAAGAAATCACGATATATTCGAGAGCCAGTGCACCTGTTGCGTGCCATCTCTATACATATGACTTCATACGTATGACATGTTACATTTTATATCTCGATGTCCCCTTGTGTGCTCATAGGTGATTGGATCATGGAATAAGATGCTCCTCAGTGGGTGAGTTTACTGGTGAGGTTTTAGCTAAATGTGATGTTAGGAAGTGAAGCCTGGTTGGAAGGGGAATGAGTCATTGAGGGTGTGACTGGAAGAATTTTGTCTCTCTCAGTGCTCGCTTGATCTCTCTCTGCTTCCTGCTGCCATGCTATAAATTGTTTCTCTGCTCTGTCCTTCTGCCCCACTGCCTTGGAATTAGCCAGATGTGATCTGACACTTCTACAACTTTGCACTGAAATAGATGTCTCCTCAGAGCTGCAGGTGTTGGACTTTGTGTCTTAGTGACAAGAAAAGAAACTAAGACAGGATACAAGATTTGTGTTTGCAGGATGACAGCATAACTGAGAAAATCTGGTCAAGAAATGAGCAAAAATTATTATTTTATAATAAAATCATATGGAAGTATTTTTAGTTCATGGCCTTTATTAATGGAGAAGCAAATTAAGGTATTGTCTTTTTGCTAAAGCAAAAGCAGCCCTGGTAATGTGGTTTTCCCTTTCACAGCTGATGAAATATGTTGCAATAATAAACTTAGTGTTTAGCTTGGATAAGAATATATTTGAATTAAAGAAGTTCTCAAAATAGTTGGGTGAACTCTTATTTTACATTGATGGACACTTTTCTACCCATTCCTGGTTTTAGTACTCATCAGAGTCTGTGAACTGCAGTCTCCTAAAAAAAAATGTCTTCTCCAGTTCCATGTTGCTACTAAACATCCTTGTGAATGTTCTTCGAGACAGCAGTTTTTATTTGATGAAAATACAAATGTTTTCTTTGACCTTTGTGCACATGGGTGAAGCAGACCTTTGAGGAAGCTGATAAGAATGGCGATGGCTTACTGAATATTGAAGAGATTCACCAACTGATGCATAAACTAAATGTCAATCTGCCTCGAAGAAAAGTCAGGCAAATGTTTCAGGTATGTTTTCACAATTGCATTGGTCTTACATAAAACACAAAAATTACTGATGTACTTAGGCTATTTTTTGTTGATGGAAGTTAATATTACTTGCTCTGTACTGTTTTATTTTTCTTTGGTGAAAAGAGAGATATTTTATTTAATCAAAGAAAAAAATTCATAAACTAAACATGCCTTCACAATTTCAATGCTTTTTCTGGTTCCTGTGTTCAGAGAATAATTGTAAACACTTCCCCTGACACTTAAATAATGGACTAAGCTCAATCAAGTCCATTGGAAATGAAAAAAATATCTCATTTGCCTTCCTCACAGGACTGTTGACAGGATCAGAATAAAACCATCTAACACGAGGAGAAAGCACTCATCTAAGGCCTTAAGAGCTCTCTGGTTTGTGAAGAGTTTAAGAATTGAGATCTATGAAACTTAGAAGTGCAAGGCACTCCTACCATGCAGTGAGCTCATCAGAAGTTCATTCACTGCATTTTGGTGATGGACAAGATGCCCTTTTCGTGTTGGTAAATCATGGAGGAAAGTCCTCTGATTGGAACTTACCCTGTAATCTATCTAGGACTGCATTCAGTCCTCAGTTTAAGGTGTAGATGTGAGCTCAGTTAAACCAGGGCAGTAACAGTGTTAAGACTATTACTGATGAACTAGGACGTTAATTTGCAAGGGGCAATTATTTGGAGATAGATCATAAATATAGTCCATGTTTTGCAATAATTTTCTATTAAGTAACCAGGTAGGTGATATTTTGTGCAAGTAAAAGTAAGCAGTAAGACAGAAATATGTTGCTTTGTACTTGATGTCTCTATTTTTTTTGTAGCCTTTTTTTTTTTTTTTTTTTTTTTTTGGTACTGGAGATTGAACTCACAACCTTGCACTTGCTAGGCAGGCGCTTATGCCACTGAGCTAAATCTCCAGCCCTTAGCCCCTTTGTTCGTACAGAGAGGAAAGACAAATACAGTAAGGGGTCAGAGCAGCAACAGTGAACGGAAGACCTTCTGGTTTCCTCCCAAGATCCTTTAATGTGGTCATGTATGAGGAAAGCTGGAAATGGAGCACCCTGTGGGGAACCTGGTCCCACTGCACTGGAAACCACACGCAGAAAAGGATTGAGTAGGGCGGAGTGAGATGTACTAACGTAAAAAACCCCAGAGATGGAGACAGGTTTTGCAAGGGAAATCAGATGTTCCAAATACAGTGACATGGAAAGTTTTGTCATGTTCCTAGCATTCCCTTTGTCATCTCACTTTTGCCTTGTCAGAAGCTCCACCTCTCTATTTTACATTGATGGCCCAGAATACTGAATAGGCAGCTGCAGATTCAATGCAAGAGGGCACGCTTAAAGAGGAGGGCAAAGTCTGTACATATAGACATCATAATTTATTGGTACTTTATAGCAGTAAGGAAGTAACAAGATGTTGAATTATTTTTACTTCTAATTTTTCCCCTTCAGATATTTATCCCTAATGTAACAAACCATCTTGGAAGGTAAAAATCTTTATGTTTAGTGTCTTATGAAGAAAATATTGAGTCTCTTTTAAATCTTAGATTATAAACTTACGGAACTGGAAGAGATTGGGCAGGTGGCTGTACCCGCTGTGTGCAGAGCATGTCTGTCTTGGGTCATGTACCCAGCAGAGGTTACCAAAGCTCCTGGTGGAAGCAGTTGGTTCAAGGACCTAAGTGGGGTGTAGTATTATCTGAAGTATTTGCAATCAGAAGATTTTGAACTCCAGAGGTTTTTTTTGGAGTATTTGTATATGTGTGATAAGATACATTATAAATGGGAATTAAAGTTAAATGCCAAATGCATTTATAAAGTGTGATCAAAATATATATTAAAATATACAATGAATGTTTAAATAAAAATTGTTACAGTAGAAGACAAATCACAATTAATCCTCCTCAAAATAGTTTCCCTTGTTTCAAGTGAATTTATGCTACTGTTTTTGCCACATTCCTAAGCAGTTCTGGAAGTCCTGTTTCTAAAGTGTCGTTAGGGGGTGTGTGAATGCTGCTGTCCTTCCAAATGGAAAGGCAGGTCCCTAAAAACATTAAGGGGTTTCAGCTACATTTTTCACTGGACCTGGTACCACAAAACTTCTGACTCTTCCCAAAAGTCAAAATCACCATGAAAGTCAAACATTTTGATTTGATTCAGGACATCAAGGCAACCAGGATAGCACCACTAAAGATACGCACGAGGACTTCTAGTACTGTGTCAGAAAGTGGCAAGAATGATGGGGTAAGTGTGATCAAAATGAGGGCTACTAATGGCAATGTGTCTTTTACTATAAGAAATTAAAAAATAATTAACCCTTCACATCTTTTTAACGTACCTCATCTGTTTTACATAGACTTTTAACACATAACCTGAAAGCAATTTTATGCATTGTTAATGCACCTTGTTTTAACTGCAGTTCTGCATGTGAGATCAAGTGAGATGGTGTCAAAATTTTTGGATTTTTGAACATTTTAAATTTCAGAGTTTTAGGTTAGAAATGATTGGGAATATACTCTTTCTTTTGACTATACTTCTGTCAAAGACATTAAAGCCTTCTACAGTTTTATTTTTTTTTCTATTGCAAAGAAGTGATTTTTTAAAAAAATAATATTTCTTTTTTTTTTTTTTTTTTGTCTTTTTCGTTTTTATCGGTATCAGGGATCGAACTCACGACTGCCTGCTTTCAATGCAGGTGCTTATGCCGCTGAGCTAAATCCCCAGCCCAAAAAAATAATATTTCAAGATATGGATTGCTTCTTTTGATTCTTAGATGCTACTGTTTGAGCCTTGAAGTTTTACTATTTATTGGTTAGGAACTTACATGAAAGTCTTGAAAAAAATTTTTAATCTCTGTATCTAGGATTAAATATTTTGATATATAATTATGGCAAAAATATGAACAATAGGTCCGATTTCTTAGGATGCAAAGACTGTGCACTTTGGAGCCTTATACATCAAAAATATTGATATTTTTATAGTTCAGTCTACCCTTTCCTTTAAGATACCAGAAGGCAAAAGTGATCAGACTCACATAAAATTGCATGGACTTTAAATATTGATTAGTGTTGACTTATAACTGACCCAAATTTAACAAAGTTTAAAGAATTTTTTATAAGCATTTTGACTTTCAAATTATGTTTAAAACCATACAACAGCTGAGCATATTTCACAACATCAATGCATTTCAAAACCATTTATTCCCTTTCAGTTTTTATTTCTTTACAACTGTGTTCACTCTGAGTGAAGATTAGGTAACTGTTGTGTCCCAAATAGTTTGACAACAAATTCAGCAATCAGAAATAAGATATATGGTAGGAGTTTGTCACTCAGTAACCATTAGAAACAAATAATTTATAGTGAACATTAATCCAGATGGATTGTTCTGACTTTTCCATGGAAGGATAAAAGGGAAGTACTACTGATGGGGTGGCTATAAGAGCATCAGAGTCACCTGTGAATCACATTCTCTTACAGGAAAAATTAGATCTGATTGGATTACATTTCAGAGGCTGGTGCTTTTGCCTTAAATACATTATCTCTTTTCTTGATTAACCTTCTGTATAATTTCTTTTTTTTAATAATTAGATTATTCAAAAATCTGCTTTTGATTTTATTTACTTTTCTGTTATATGTTTTCTATCTCATTGCTTTCTGTTTTTGTTTATAATGTATGTCCTGTTTTCTTTGTCTTAAAAATTTTGTTCTTGAGTTGAATTACTGTTTTTAATGTACTATGCCTCCTAATAAATTTGACTTCCAGTTTTTAAAAAAGTTATTTATTGTTTAAGGTTTTATTTTGTTTTGTTTCTGTGGAATACAGGGTTGAATCCAAGGTTATTGTACAAGTTTTACTATGGATTATTTTCACTTCTGCATGTTTTATTTTCTGCTTAGAAATGTATTATATTGCTTCCATAATTCATTTTTAAGTTTTCTCTATTGGTTCATAAATTTACTCTGGTCAGAGAAATTTCTATGTATTAGTATGATTTCTGTTTTTGTAATTTATTAAAACTTTTTGTGGCCTGATACATAATAATTTTTTATAATGTGCTTAAAAAGAATGTGTTCACCATTTGTGATTTGGGTATTTCTCCTCTTATAGTAAATGTTATTTTCCTATACTGAATTATTTGCCATTTTGCCGTTTGAACTCTCATGCTGCCTTTTCTTCTCATATACACTTTCAGGAAGCTGACACAGATGAGAATCAGGGAACTCTGACATTTGAAGAGTTCTGTGTTTTTTACAAAATGATGTCCTTGAGACGAGACCTGTATCTGTTGCTGTTGAACTACAGTGACAAGAAGGACCACCTAACTGTGGAAGAACTGGCTCAGTTTTTGAAGGTTGAACAAAAGGTATCATTAAATCAATCAATTGAATGTTTATTTAAAAATACTAGTGAGAAATAACTAGATGTGTTTTTGGAGTTAGATGTAGATAGTTCTTAAATCCTGGGTAGAGGAGTAGCTATCACAAGGTCACAAAAATCTTATCTATAGGTCATCATTTAAAACATGTTCCTGACAGCTCTGAAAGATGAAATGATAAGTTGAACACTGGTTTTTACAATTTTTCACTTTAAATATATTGAATGTGGATACACATTTCTCCACAAAGACATGAATGGTAATTAATGTATTTCATTTTGGATACAATGGTAATGTTTTCTTTGCACTAATTCAATGAAGTATTAATAGTGTAAATTTATGCTTTATTTAAGTATGAGTTAGTATTAATAAAAATATAAATTGATATTTATGCTATTAATGGCTAGTTACTTAACTATGATATTATGGTGTATCATTGATAGGTGTGATGGAAATTGATGTTTGATCCTGTGAAAGGCTAGTAAACTAGATCTTGATTAACAAAGGGCATTCCTAATCTGTTTAGATAAAACACTTTAATTTTAATGTTATATAGATTATATTGTGCTCAATAAACGTAACCTTTTCATACCACTATTCTTACATCTTCTTACACTCCTTTGTTTTTCAATATAGTAGCAAAATGAATATTTCATTAAAAGTTTTTAACTGTTTACATTAGGCTTTTCTGTGGGAGACCCTTGGTTTTGTTGTATTGATAAAATTTTATCTTAATATAAAGAATGTGTCTCCTTTATTTGAAATTAAATGTAGTTCTATCAATTGTGAGGAAACATCAAATATTTGGATGGTATTTTGCAACAATCAGTACTTATACAATTAGCTAGCCTATACTTGAAAATGTCTTTCTTTTATAAAATAGCAGCTTTATTGAGATACAATTCATGTAGCATAAAATTTACTCTTTTAAAGTATATAGCTCAGTGGCTTTCAGTATATTCCCAGTACTGTGCAACTGTCACCACTAATTTCGAAACATTTTCATCACAAGAAGAAACTCCATGCCTATTAGCAGTCGTTTCCTGTTTCTCTCCCAAAGCATGGGAAAAATTAATGCACTTTCTATCTGTATTGATTTGTCTATTTTGGAAATTTCATATAAAAAGAATCATGTGATATGTGTCTTTTGCTATTGGCTTCTTTTATTTAGCATAGTTTCCAAGGTTCATTTGTTTTAGCATGTGACAGCTGGGGATGAAACTCAGGGCCTCAAACAGTCTCTACTACTCAGCCCTGATGCCAATCCACTTCATTTCTAACATTGTACCAATATACCACATTTTGTTCATTCAGTCATCTGTTGATGGACATCTTGGTTGCTTCCATTTTCTAACTGTTATAAATAATACTGTTATGAACATTCATGTTCAGAAAGTTTTTCTGTGGACATATGATTTAAATTTTTTTAGTATATATGAAAGTGGAATTGCTAGGTCAATGGTTTGACTGCTTCTTATAATCTGGATATGGATATTGAAAGAATCTCATATGAATCAGAGCATAATGCTATCATGGAGCCTCAATGAATATGACACTGGGTCAATATTTGAATATTAGTGGTATATATTTTCATTGACTCTAAAAAGGATAATGGCCTTCCAGGATGGATTGGTTGGGTTTGGGAAATTGTAAGTGTTGCTCCTTGGAGGTGGTAACAAGAGTTGGAATTGATATTAAGGTTATCACACATGGGTGGATGAGTAACATTTTGGATTAATTTATTCCCTTATTTGAATATGTACTATGTATCCCATATATGGTGCTAAGTTTTGGAAACAGACAAAAATCTATTTCTTTCAAAGTCTATAGGAAGAGGAAAGAGAATGCTAAGAAGTAAACAACATATTTTTAAAGGTTTGCTGAGTTTTCCCTTTTTTTAAAAAATCAGTACGAGGGATCGAACTCGCAACTGCGTGCTTGCAAGGCAGGCACTTATGCCACTGAGCTAAATCCCCAGCTCTGAGTATTCCCTTTTGGAGGAGAATAGCATTCATTATAATTTAGTTTGTAATAATTTGTTACATTTTAAAAATCATAATTGTGCTATACTGTTTCTCTGGACTTTTTGATTCTTTACGAAAGTATATTTGTTAAGATACTAAAACATTAATTAGTTATACATTGTTTATATATGTAATCATGCTCATTTAGTTTTGGTTGTAATTCAGATTATTTTAGTGATTTCCATTACAGTCATTCAAAACTTTTAGTTTCTTTTACTTTCTTCCTATAATTTGACATTTATAATCCTGATTATAGCAAAATGTGTCACTGATTCAGTCTTCTCTGAATGAAGTAGGCAAACATTTTTATGGCAGTGAAATATAATTTTTTGAGTTATATGAATATTAGTTTAATGATCAATTTCTTCAACTTTTCGTGTTAGCAAAAATAAAAAAGTATATATAATATATATCCTCTGAATTAGTTACTTATCAATAAGCCTTAAGATTAAATATTTTCATGGCTTTTCAAACATGTCTCTATCATGGTATTATAAACATTAAATAAGTTGCCTACAATTCTAAGAACAGTGTGTGGAACACAGTAAGAGTTTCAGAAGATTTAGTAGTCCTAAAATAGAGTTCTTCATTATTACAGTACAGCAGTGTGAAGGAGTTAACTTCACTCTAGTTCAATGTTACTAAACTTAAAAAGTATTTAAGTTTAAAAGATATAAGTGGTTGACCTACTCAGTTTCTTATTGCTGGAACAAAATACCTAACACCTACACCTTAAAGGAGGAAACATTTATTTTTGGCTCATGTTTTCAGCTGTGGTTGGGTGGCTCGCAGGCAGGGAGACATGATGGAAGGGTCTGACAGAAGAAAGCTGCTCATGTCACTTTGGTGAGAAGCAAAGATAGAAGTGAGGTCTATGAAGGAGATATACCCTGCCAGGTCATGTTCACTATAACCTGCCTCTTCTGAGTACAGCTGACCTCTCAATAAGCAAAGGAGCTGTATCCTCCCATGATTCAGTCACCTTCCAGAATGCTTACCAATGAGCTTATGAGGCTTTTGGGGAGATGTTCTTAATTTAAACCATATCATTCCACCCTGGCCCTCAAAAGACTCATGCCATCTCTTTATACAAAAATGTATTTAGTATCTCTAAGCGTTGTAAAGTCTTCTCAGTTGCAGCACTGTTAAAAAGTCAGAGTTTGAAGCCCTTTCTGAGACTTAAGGCAAACTCTCAGATGTGAGCCACTATGAAAATTAAGAAGAAAGTTAAACAGTTTCAACATAGTGTTACAGGGGAAAATTTTCTGTTCCAAAAGGAATAGGTGAATAGAAACCAATGAGACCAAAGCAAAACCGAAACTCACCAGGGTAAATGTTAAGTCCAATAGGTAGATGTCCAGCATCTGGGCAAAGATATGAACTCCAAAGGGCTTGGGTGACTCTGCCTCTTTGACGTCCTCATGGAACTTCTCTTAGGCTGGCTCTGTGCTTTGCCTGCAGAGTTCCTTAGCTTACCAACCTTCTTCTGAGATCGGTTGAAAGCTTCTCTGATTCCACAATTCTTGCATTCTGGAAGTCTATAAAGTAAGCACTATATGGATGATGCCATCATGGTCTCTCTTCAATTTGAGCAGTATCCAGCCCTCCTTGTATCATGGCTGCAAAGGCCTCTGTGGGCTTGGATGGCTCGGCACTGTGAACAGAATCCTGGGGAACCAGTTCCCTATACAGCATTTCTGGAGCAGGGTGCCCTTGAATTCTCTTTAGTCTTTCATGCTTTTCACCTCTTAGCCCTGAAAGGTGGGGTCTTGCTGATTCCTCAGGTGTCTCAAGGCATCTTTTCTATTGTCCTGAAGAAGGTACCTGGCTCCTTTTTTATGCTAATCTTTTTAACAATGAAGCTCTATTCAGCCAAAACTTGACAAGCCCTTTTGTGGAAAACTGAAAGCTTTTCAAATGGATTTTTTGCCCCTATTTTTCCGGTATACATCTGGCTAAAAGTAACAAACAGTAAGCATGCCACAGCACAAATGTTGAACTGCCTTGAAATTTTCATTAGATTAATTCATCTGCTACCCTTAATCTCTCTGTCTTGTAAAGTATTAGGAGATGTACAAAATACAGACGTATTTTCTGCCAAAACATAACACACAGGTTCTTAAGCCTACTTACCAGTGTTGTCAACAGAAACTTCCAGAGCCTGGCCTTTACTATGTGTTTTTCTACTGGCATTTTAGTGTTATGAGCTTTGACTGGAATCTCCCACAAGCCCAGTTTACAGCATTCTAGGGCTTCTCTAGCCATTGTCTCCAAACCTTCTTAAACTTGCCCCACTAACCACTTTTAAAACTCCTAATTCACATGGTCACAGCAGCTACCTCATTCCTAGTACCAAAACCTGTGTCTATCACTTTCTTGTTGCTGGGCCACAATGCTTGACACACACACTTAAAGAAGGAGAGGATCTGTTGTGGTTTTGCCTCAGGATTACAGTCTATTGTTGATTGGCTGAAGGCAGGAAGACAGATTCGAAGCAGAAGGGTCTGTCAGAAGAAAATCCTCCACAGAGTGGTCAGGAAGCAGGGGAAGGAGAAAAGAGAGAAGACAGGAGCGCCGTGATACCTTACGCTCACAGACGCAGGGAGTCCTTTTGGTCAGAAATCATCTCTCAATACTAAGTCAGCTATTTTGCCCACATGATTTGTCTTCCAAAAGTCCTACCATGAGGCCTTTGAGAACATTCTTGATCCAAATCTTAACAAGCAACAAGTATGCCACTGTTAATAGAAGTCAGCAATAATAGCATAAGGCTTGTTAAATAACTAAAAGAATAACATGTAATAGTAGTAATAATGAAAATAGATGGAATGAGGGAAGGGGAAATGAAGAAAGTAAAACTTGTAAAAGAGAATAAAGGAAGATGAGAAGAAAGATAAAAGTGAGATAAAATCAGATTAAAGAACAAAAGAAAATTACTTAGAATTAGATAAAAATAACAGAAGA